CCGGATAATTAAAGAATATCGAAGTACTGGGATTGTTACCCCTTCGAAACGTTCCGGTGGTCATAACGCTGTTGCAAATGTGAGCTCTGACGATTGGCCGAATTGCGTGCAACACGTTATTAAGGAAGAAAATAAAATGTGTAGATTGGATGGCCTAATGGATACACTTATAGAACCCTTAATTATTTCACTCGGATCGAAGGACAGTGACAGTTCTAGTGAACTCTCGGAAGACAGTGACTAAATCTCTTATACATAAAGCAGTGAACTGTGCTGTCTAATAATATGAGCATAATTCCATTGTTCTGAATTTGTTCAATAACTTAACATTTGTTGTAAATTGTAATGCGGATTGTGTAGTATTACAACTGATAAAGCATTTAAAACTACAATTCAAAATAATGTTTCAAAGGCCAAAAAATGTATGCAGGATGATTACCTATTATCAATGTATTACATATTTATTATAATTCGCTTTTAAAAGTATGATGTATGCATAATATAAAGGAGTTCCTACCAAGTAATAACCCAAAACCATAAATAATGAAATCTATCCAAATGTGAAAGAAAATCACATCACGCAACCCACAATACATATCTGTATAAAATGAGTCTATTATTTTTGTTACTAGATTCTAGTGACATTTTCAGTGTAAATCAGGTTTTTAAATCCGTCTTCCTAGTTAAAAAACAGAGTATAGTAATTGATAAGGTGCATAAAAACACTCATTTTGAGACCACTATGAGGGGGCTCTGCTCAGCAGAGACATCACCGAAGAGACCCCCATTGAAAAGGTAATTGGATGGACGGAAGTTCCGAATAGCGTTTCGACATTCCCATGATTTTAAATACATTGAAGACATTAGCGTTTGTTTTATGGTTAATACATGTAGCTGATGATGGAGGACTGGGAGTGGGTCCGCTGGATAAGGCGCACAAGAGGTCTATTTTGAGACCCCATTCGAAGGGGGTGGATTGTATCTAAAACGCGCCCTTATTTTGGCGTTTTATGTAAACGAGTGGCCGCGGAAATAAGTAATAGGGTCATAGAATCCAAATGGGACGTCGGAGAGTAGCAGTTGCAGTCGCATTTGGTTTGTCTCGCGGAGCCTCGTGTGGGGAGCATCGAACGCCCAAGCGGTGAGGTGAGGTGAACTCAAATAAAGTGTTGATCTAACGTATTCTGGAGGAGCTGAAACATTCCCTACCAGGAGGAGAATTGGACCCCAAGTCACCCAGCATATCCGAAATGTAGCTAAGATGGGACGAGGGAGTGGAGTGTTCGGTTCAGAAGGGGACAAACTCTCCCAAGAGAAAAATGGTGGGTGCGGATACCCAAATGACGGACCTGAAAAGAATAAACGTGAAGTCAATTGACAAACTGGACGGTCTGACCACTAAAAATACCGCAGCAAAGGAGATTAAAAAGGTCACACTCGAGTTAAAGGAGCACAGCAACCCAGCTTGGAACGGGAGAGGTGGATTAACTACGGAGTAGTAGACACCCTGGCTGTCACAGGGGCGAGGTGACCTGATGAGGGAGGAAATTGGGAGTAAGATCAATAAAGGAGTACTGGCAGAAGAGATATAGGTGGGGGCCAACGAAGAATAGCCCCCAAATTTTCGGAAACCTTTACAAAAGTTTCGAGGAGAGGAACTACAGGAATCCGAAATCAAAGTAGCCTTATTTACTCATGGCGGCCGTGGAGGGGAAGCACAAAAAGGAGGTGTGCGATAACCAATACGACACAATTACGAAAACGGCTAAAAGGCTGGTGGCCAATAAGCAACAGAGTATTAAGTTGTTTGTTAGCCCGGAGCACAGAACTCTGTGGAAAAGTAATGGAGTGCGTTAATCAGGCCGTCACCCACACTATAAATGGAAGTTGGCGCACAAAGGGAAGGCCGAGTGGTGTCCTTTTTTGTTAATGAGGGGGGCAAGTCATACGCGGACCTACTCAAGGGGGTCCTGGAAGGGACCAGGACATGGAGGCATTTCGAGCGGTTACGAAGGCGAAAGATGGGAGACTTAAGATCGTAATGGATGAAAAAGGATGTAGAGAAAACCAGAGGAAAGTTTCAAATACACCATCGGCGAGGTAACATGCGAGGTTAGGGAGGAGACTAAAATATACATCGGGAACTTGAACGAGCTCTCACAAGAGCAAGGAATAAGGAGGGACTTAGGACCTGGAGAAAATACAGGTCAAACCCATCTCAGAGTGTCGAGAGAGGACAGTGATCGGTAATGCTGCTAATTCACATAGAACTGAACGATAAAATGGACAGAATAGAACAGGTGTGTCTAATAGCGAGGTGCCGGATACGGAAGAGGGTAGAAGTGCCAAACTGCCCAAAATGTTGGGAACTGCAGGATATAGGAACGGCGCGTGCGGAACCTTAGGGGAAATCAAGTACCATTTTAGGTGTACACCAAAAATTGCAATTAATTCATGTTAATTCAAATTAATTCACGTTAATTCAAAATAATTCACGTTAATTTCAAATTAATTCACGTTAATTCAAATTAATTCACGTTAATTCAAATTAATTCACGTTAATTCAAATTAATTCACGTTAATTCACATTAATTCACGTTAATTTAAATTAATTCACATTAATTCACGTTAATTAAAATTAATTCACTTTAATTCAAATTAATTCACGTTAATTCAAATTAATTCACGTTAATTCAAATTAATTCACGTTAGTTCAAATTAATTCGCTTTAATTAAAATTAATTCACGTTAATTCAAATTAATTTAAAGGGGTGTACACCAAAAATTTAAAGTTGTTTCCCCCTAGGCGGAACCAAACAGAAAACCGCTTCCTCAACTGCGGCCAGGAAGGGAACTTCAAGGAACAGTGCAGCAACCCCAAAAGGTGCACCATGTGGGAGGAATAAGGACACGAACCGTGGTGATTGGCGTGCCCCAGGTTTAAAGGGCCCATAAGAACGACCGAAAAAGGAAGAGGCCGTAGCCATAACTATTTATGGGCGGAAATCAACGATATGGTATTGCGCGGCTATTTCCCCCCGAATGACACATTGGAGGAACTGAATGCAAATGTTAAACACAGGGGAGACGCCCACATCTGTGAGAGGCGTTACTCCATAATCGACTTGAGACTGGTGGCTAACGAAGGATTAACTCGCGGTATATGTCTTTGGAGGGTGAATAAGGTAAAAACCCTTAGCGATCACAGATACGTATCCTGGGAAATACGCACGAAGTGCAGTAAAGCTACTTGCGGACCAGACCGAGGAAAAAAGCAAAACAGTAGTCGGCAGCAACGAAGAAATTATGGAAAAAGTCCATAGGCTATTTGTAAGAAATACACCCGACTATTAAAAATGTCAAAGGAGAAAACACCTACAAGGGTGATCCCAGAAGAGGTATGAGACGCGGCTAAGAAGATGTCCAAGAAAAAGATATTCGGGCCTGATGAGTTTCCCCTGGAACTAGTCGCCAAACTAGCTGAGTAGAAACCAGAATGGTATTTCACCAAATTCCGTCCACCGGAGAATACCCGGAGGGTTGGAAAGAAGCGTCGGTCGGCCTTATACCAAAAAAGGACCCGGGGCCAATGAGCAATTTCTCTGATAAGCCACTAGAGAAGTTCAACGCCGAAAGAATTGACCCGTTTTCCGGTCTATCGGAGGGGTAGTATTGCTTCAGGAAAAGAAGGGGACCCGAGAAGCATTAATTCTGCAGAAAAGGCTCTGAGAGGAACCCGACACACTAGAGAGGTGACAATTGGTACCTCGCTAGATACGCAAAATGTGTTCAATTTAGTCTCGACGAATGCTATATTGGAAGAAATGAGAAGAAAAGGGATACCAGGATGTCTTAGGAAAGCGGTATACATCTACATGAGTAACGAGAAGAAACGGATTAAGCTACTTCCGGAAAGGGTTACCAGTTTGTAGCTAATATAGGGGTCGAAAGGATCAGTGTTGGGATCGCATTTAATAGTGTCCTCCGGCTTTTAGCGCCTACGGGGGTGCTTCTGATGGTGATGGTGAGCATAGTGGTAACAGGTCGTAAATTCGTAAGCTTTATTCGGCATCCTGAAGATAGCCACAGCATAGCGCACACCTCCACCGAGGTTAAAGATCAGCTCGAGGTACGAATGAAGGGTGTGCTAAATGTCTGGGAAGCGGAATAGCAGGAATGGGAGACGTGGAAGACCTTAAGAGATAGGCTAAGAAGAATCACGGCGAAACAAACTAGCTCATTACGCAGTTCTTAACAGGGCACGGAGAGAATGGGGTGTACCTAAAGAAATCCGGAAGAAGGAGTGTAACGGTTAATTTTCTATATTTTCTCCAGAATCTAGGTTTAATTTACATTCAATTCGGGCGGCAGGTTGGGAATGTTTTAAGGGCAGGTCTACCTTAGAGGCTTACGTTCACTTCTTTCATTTTCCTTTCGAATGTAAGTTTCGCTCCTCTATCTGAGCTCTTCACTCTTCATCTTTCCTTGTTTTCTATTCTATGGGACGGGTTTCAGGAGTACTCTATTTTCTGTCAGCTCCAGGGGTTGGGCTATTTTTTTTATTGGGGATTTTCCTGGGTTTTAATTTGTTTGGGGTGGATTGTTTCGCTTATTGAGCAATATAGTGGGTTGGGTTTGGGTTTTTACTTTATGTCTTGTCCATTAATTACGGGTTATAACATTTCAATTTCCTAGTTCATTGTTCCTTTCTCTTCTGTGATTTCACATCTTAATCTTACTGATAAAATCGAACTGTTCACATTTAAAAATCTTCCTATTCTTTCTCTCAGCTTATCTAGGTCTTCTTTCTTTGTCATACAATTTGAATTTAGGAAACTTTCGGTTTCCTTATTTGTATTACCTAATAGATAAGGGGAATCCCTAGTTCTCTTGATTTTCCCCGAATTCATTCTTCCTGTGGCATTGTAAGACACTTGTCTGTATGTGGTGAAGCTACAAATTCTTAACTGGGTTTTATCCGGCTCATCTGTGAGGATTATCAAGAATTTAAGCTACATTTACGCCGTAATTATTATTTACTTACATTTCAATTGTTCCAATTGTGATTTGGCGTTTTACGCGTTATGCGGATCATTAACCACATGGCAGCATAAAACTTAGGCTCGTTCAACACCTGTAGAGGTAAGCCAACTTATTACCATCTTGCACGGGATTTAGGCATAAATTCTTTTAGCCATTCTATTCTCTCTGGAAATCAATTTTATATAATTAATCGAACGTCACTGGACACTACCTATTCTTCCGTCTTCGTCAGCGTCACTTCTATTTCTTCTATCAGAACTTCAGGATAGCACCAAGGGTTATCGAAGCCGAGGCACACCTATTGTTGTACCTACCCCGAGTTATACCAGCTTCCGAGGAACCATCTTCAGTTATACAACCATCGGCAACTAAAACACCAAAAGGTCAGCAACCTCTCCCAAAACTACCCCTGAAGTTACTCACTCCCTTTCTTCTCTTCCCTTACTCCTTCTTATCTTTTTCCTCTTATCTTATCTCCCTGTAATCTCTTGTCCTCAGTGATGCATTCATATCCTTAATCATTCACCTCACACATACCCATTTATTCAATAAAATCTGTTTATAATTATAATTTGTGTAAACTAATATTTGACAACTACCTTTGTAGTTCAAGTATAAAACTGTCAGGTGCAATACAACTACCGCTTCACGGTGATTCATTTTAACTAATTTAAATTTTTGTAAGACTAAAACAAGAGTTACCTAAATCTGAATAACTGCTGTCTGTCTGCAGCACTATAATTGCACGTCTCGATGAAAGATCTTTCCACGGCAACCTGCAAACCTTAACTTTGATCAATAACATTGACCGGTATACGTCTACTGGCACTAAACTTTGTTATACTATTCTTGTTGCCGTCAGGTATAATTTCGTGCGTGTATAATTCTCACACCACCTAATTTTGTTGTCCTGTGAATTACAAAAACCAATTTTATCACTTCCCCTAATTAATCTATCTCTTCAGAACTTTATATTGACTACCGAATAAGTAAATATTGTGCACCTTTCTTCCTTCGCCTACTTCGTCTCTCCTACTTTCTTTTATTTCTATTTAGTGTTCCTGAGTCTGACTTCAGCCAGTTTCGTCTGCTTTGGAAGCGGGAGCAAAACCATCCACGATCTGTTTGATACCTTATATACAGCTTCTGGCGCCTGGGATTTTTTTTTGCACACTTTTAGTTTAACCTCGACCTACACCGACGAGCGGCCGGCAACAGGTCTTTGATCACCGCTGTAACCAGGCTACGTGTTTGTCCAGATTTTCCTTTGTGTTTGTTTTGTTTTTTTTTTTTTCCTTTTTTTTCCCTTCAGCGTGTCCCACGGATGCGGAGCGGTGACAGGAGAGTGACAACTGCCTAGATTGTGGGGCGCTGGACAATTCAGAACACGGTTGTTCTTCAATGCCCTAGATGGGAAACCGATAGATACCGGGTAGCCATCAAGGTAGGGGAGGCGCTAGAAGAAAACAATATAACAATATATTAGGGAGTAAAGGGAAATGGCAAACAATTGGCATCAAATGCCCTCAAGCAATAGAGGGAACTAAAACCTTACGAAAGGTCTACAAGAATGAAACAAATATCATCTCTGGAAGAATACCTAAGCTATACCCAAAAAAAAGATCTTTGACCTGGCAAAAATAGTGGTAGTGCGAAGGGAGCCGATTCGATTTGGTACGAATTAAACTTTTGTTGTCTATACTTTGTCCATAATGGTCTAAACGGGCTACAATTACCAAGAATGGTGACCTTAACCTAGGGCAATTTGTTATGAATTAAGTTTCCTATTTATGTGACATTTAACAACGCTTAATTGGGAGAAGTTCCTTAAGTTTTTAATGAAAAATTATATTTCGTCGTCATATTAAAACTTCAGTTCCTGAACCTATTCCCAGTTAAGTTTAATACTGTAGTAGTGTATGTAAATACAATTACAGGAAAAAACGTAAAGTTATTATATATTCAAAAGATAAAATTTACGTACTGTAGGTATATTTCGAACTGTTGAGTGATAATTACTAGGTTAAGTGGTATTCTCTATGAAAATAAAGTTCCTAGGCACAGAAATACTCATATAAAATAAAATCTGAATACCTACGAAACTCAAGAGGTCAGTCCGTAATATACCCGTTTGGTTGAACTAGCTGGTGTGATCCACATTTTGACATTTCACAATTGAAGACATTTTTAATTAACCATTACAACTACGAATTTGGACAACGGATCTTTTTGTCCAGTAGTACTAGAATGCAGCGATAGAATCCCTAAAATGAATTTTCGTGGTGCATTGGCGTCCCTTAGACAACTTTGCATTTGCAGTACTTTACCTTTGTGGCTAAGTGTAATCATAATTGTTATCAAAATGGGATGGAAAAGAGGGCGGTCGTTTATGGACTGGTGCAAGTGTAAACCAGCACCTCTTTATTACGGCGTGATGAAAACCAATAATTTTCAGAACTGGCAGGCTTAAAACAATTGAGAGCGCATGAATGGAGCAATATTCCTTTCAGACTCCACATTCCGTTACCCTACTTTCCGTGCATCAGCCTGCATAACATTATTTGCGCGTAATAACTCCATAATTTCACGTCGATTCCGCAGCAATAGCGACGTAATTAAAGCTTCATTGCAGTTGCCTAATGACTCCGACTAAATTTAGAACCCGCCCATTAAATTTTCAAGCAACTTCAATCGCTTTTATGACCGATGAATTTCAATTAAAGGTCGCGCGTGCATTTTCAAATACGTGTGGCACCATGACCTACCTTTTCTCTCCGACGTTACGCCCTTCTAACTTCTGCAACAACTGGTTACAATTCCGTTATCCTTGCCCATAGTAAAATCCACTATACGTACGAATTACCGAGACCGCACAGTGTTTCATTTAAATTGTCTACTGCGCTCGAGTTTCCATTTTCACAAGTAAACCATTGCGTCTATAATTCGTAACATTTTGCGAAAAACCACCGGGATTTGCCCACGAAGAAAACACGGCTTGTCTACTTTCTACTATCGTAATCGTTTTTGGAAAGGTGGGTGGTTGTGATAACGTCGCAAAGGCACGGTCACTACTGACGAGGAGGGAAACTGCCAACCCCGGCGCCGACGCTCTACTTTCCTTTACGCATTTTCCGAAACCGTTAACTAAATGCACATCTTTCACTTTGATTAAGCATAGGAAGCAATTGAAAAACATCGACAAAAACAAATAAGGCGATACATCCCAAAACACCCTCTGGTTTACTCCTTATAACCCACAATGCGAGCCAATTACGTTCTCGGCAAAAAGGTCGAGGAAAACACGCGCTTTCGTGTACAAAAAAAAATGTATTCAATTTTTGTTAGTTACAAAAACAAGGCTCCAACCCCCATTATTTCTGCAATCAATACTGGGAGCAGTGTAAAATATTTATAACTCCATAATATACACGGCATTAACTGGAACCATTGCGATACTGTTTCCAGTGTTTCATTTAGGTATTCTTCCTTTCTGTTCGCAAAATAATCAATCACTTTGTGTTCGGTGTTTGTGATCGTTCGTATTTGGATCAGATTTCCCTTCATTTGTCATGTTAATGTGTTTCTGACGGACGACGGAGAAGAAATGGCAGAGAAGTATAAAGAAGGATAGTAATTAATTCGCGATGTTCAGCGAGAGGGTTGCGACTGAAAGATAATTCGAAAAAGCCACTTATGCTGATTGTTACGCCACGAATCGAGGATTACAGTCAGTAAAATTTGAAGGTGGTGCAGGTACGAAGTGTTTCAACAAGTGGGGCGAGTTTTAAATTATTGTTGTGTAGTGTATATAACGTTATGGGAACGTTCTCATTGGTTTTAGCAGATGATATAGTAGGATGGGTCACCATGCATGTTATGAATTTCAATCTTTGTGTAGATTAAATGTGGTCGTGGTAATTGTTTATTTTATTTTTTAGTTTAAAGTAAAGATCAAGGACATTTGGAAAGATGTATACCTTGCTTCTCTTAGTTTGTTTAAGATACCTTGCGTAAAGAGCAAAGGATATACGTCTTTGACTGTCAGCGATAGTCCACAGAGAAGCGGTGTCTCCGGGATGATTTCTTCACTAGTACAATTGGTGAACTCCTGGCACTCCACCTCCTAGTTTATAATTTTTTGGATAGCTGGATTACGGGGTTAGTATATCTGTTTTTGGGGGTTCGGCACCTGTTTTCATAGTTATAGTATGCCTGGTGACGATCTAAACTTCTCTCTTATGCCTTTTCTAGGAACTGGTTGAGTACAGGAAGCTGTTTCTCATCTAGGCGTAGGATGTACTGGGTTCCGTTCCCATATTCTGCCCCTGGTCCGGAAATGTCATTCTGCGGTGGTATGAATTGATGCTAATCCGTTGCTCTTCAATGAAATCGTTTTTGTTTGTTATGTCTGAGGCTAAAGTGGGTAGATACTAACACTCTATTACCTTACCTTGTGTTTTCACGATACAAGGAAATCTATAGTAACTCGTGGCTTGTATTCGAGTTGTTGCTGCCAACTATACATGGTTATCGTCTTAGGGAATTGATAAGATATGTTCCTGCCTTAATATCCGTAAGGTTTTGGTACCCATGCAGTTTTTATACATGGTTTTCGGCAAGGACGGTTGAGAATCCCAGTGTTATTCCCACTGACGATTCTCGGTTTCCGAGAATCTACAGGAACAATCCCTAGAAAGAGCGCCTTCTCTCCCACAGTGTGAACAGAATATCTTAAATACTTTTGTGCATTGACATCTGGGGTGACCCGTTTCTCCGCATCGCCAGCAACGGTTCTCCCTGCGGTATCTATTTTCATTTCCTTTGTTTTGGGTTCGTACTCTAATATTGTTTTCAGGGCTGCTACTTCTTCAGAAAAATGCACCCTCGATGTATTGCTACTTAACTTCTGTTGCTCTATAGAGAGGGACAATAAAATTAAGAAAAATAAAAAAATATGATATTTATCTTCTGATTTTAGGTTTTCGTCGTCCTATCGAGCTGGCTTGATCTGGGCATCCTGTAATATCTTCACATTAGTGTGTTTAATGTGCTCTTGGTTTGAGTAAATGACTAAATGCACTTTTAGTGTGTTAGGAGTAGTTGGTGCCATTGGGATTGAGATCATATCACTTTTGCTTTTGTCGTTGAAATGACAGGGCGATCTTTGCGAAAAATGTTGATCTGATTGGGAAAATTCCAGAGTCATCGCGCTAAAGTTGCGTCTTTACGCGAATGGGACGGTGTATTCTCTTTAGATAGCGTTATTTTCATAGAATTCCTCCTTGTTAACACGGTTATTTTTGGCTTACGCCATATGTGTTAATTTAATTACCTATGTTACAATCCGAAACCCATTTATTAATATGGTACGTAAGTTCAAAATAATTGTAATTAGGTCTGATTTTGGTATTGTAGTTTTTGGATATATTTTCTTTGTACGTTACGAACATTGCGGTGATCGTATTAATGAAGTACCGTGTTCTGGATATTCGCGTTTACAGTAACGACAAGGGCAAAGATAAGAAAATTTTGGATAAAACAAAACCTTTTCTGGAATTTAATATAATATTAACTAGGATTGTCGTACCTTTTTTCTGGACTGGTGCTGTAGTTTCCTAAAAGTTGGGCGCCTTTGAACTAATTACCCCTGCTCGGTCGGCCTGCAGTAGTACTCACTGCTCGGGCGCCATGTAAGCCTTGGATTTGCCCTTGGTAGTTGCTAGTTAGTGACAGGGTGTAGACTATCAAACACGAAAGAAGAAAATATAAAGTAACTGATTAAAATAAAATAAACAATATTATTTGATCACACTGTATATACAGTGTTGGCAGCACTGCTCGCTTTCAGATTTCGCGTTGCCGCATTGGAAACTGTAATTATAATAATTATTCTCAAAATGGGCATGTATTTATCCCGTAAATTGGTATAACAGGTTTAGTACGGTTTTAATGCCGGAGTACCATCTCGTTAATCGGCTACCAGTATCGGAGTTTAATTGGATAAATTGATTCTGCAGGTTATCGACCTTTTTATGTTTTGGTTACATGTTAATGTGAAGGGTTTAGTTATAGGCAGAGGAACTTCGCCGTCTAATTTTCGTAATTCCAATTTTAGTGGACGACCTGTACGCTATAGCGACTGTCGTGCGTCTCTCTTCTTTTCTCCTATATAACCGGATGAGCTTGAAATTTTACTCGATTTGCACAGCGGGCTGCCGTTATAGGAGTACGCAGGGAAATTCAGAACAACTTGAAAAAGATTTGATAATAATAATAAT